ACAAAAAACAAAACCCCAGAGTAAGACCGTGGTGGCTCACAGGTCTCATCCCAGCACTTGGGAGGCAGAAGCAGGCAGATTGCTGTGAGTTTGAGGATGGCCTGGGCTACAAAGTTAGTTCCAGGACAAGTCAGAACTTGTTTCATAGAGAAACCCTGTCTCAAAAAACCATAAGAAAGAAAGAAAGGAGAGAGAGAGAGAGAGAGAGAGAGAGAGAGAGAGAGAGAGAGAGAGAGATCTGAGTTGGAAGCCATCCTGGTCTACAAAGTAAGTTCCAGGACAGTCAGGGCTACACAGAGAAACCCTGACTCAAGAACAAAACAAAAAACAAACAACAATGACAACAACAACAAAAAGAAAGAAAGAAAAGGAGGAGGAAAAGAAAATGATGACAGAATCTCATGTAGCCCAGGCTAGCCTTAAACTCTCTGTGTATTCAAATCTGACTCTGGCCCTTCTGCCTCTCCCCAGTGCTGGGACTATAGGCATTTTCTGCCACTCTGGGTTTAATGCCTCTAGGGCCCAAGTCCAGAAGTCCGTGCATTCTGGGTAGGCAACACCACCAACTGAATGGTAGCCCCAGGCCCAGAGAAGCTTCCGGGTTTTTTTTTTTTATTCCCAGTTTTCACTTGGTTTTCCATGGTCTTTGAGGCAAGTCCCAGGCCTTGCTCTTGGACTCGATTTTCTCCTCTTGGCACATCACTAAGACTCAAATGGAGGTCACGGGAGAGTGAGTCATGGTCACGGTGGTGGCGGTGGGGTGTGTGCCCGTCCGTGATGTTCACACAGAGTTGGATAAGCCATGTGCGTCCCCACACTTTGCCATGCCTCCATATGACGGAGAGCCCCGGCTTAGCTGGAACAGTGTAGCTCAGGATGGGGCAGCTGGAGAGGCTGGGTCAAACAGGACAGGCTACAGCAGGCCCAGCATCCTGGCAGGGGACACACATTAGCCAGGAATCCCAGGGGTTCTGCGAGCCCAGAGGCTGTATATCACAGAGACTTAACCAGCAGCGTGGCACATACTTGTCTCCTCGCTTGAGCTGTGTCCCTGTCTGGTCTGTCATAAATTGCACTGAGATTTCAAAATATCCCGGTCCCCTTGAGCTCTTCCTGGACAGCTAAGAAAGTCCCATTCCTTTGAAGTCGCCACCTGGCCCACGACACCTGGGCCACTTCTAACTCTGGCATCTGGGACCTCCTTCCTGTCTCCTGCTAGAGAGTGGAGGAAGAGTTGGAGGAGGCAGAAGAACTATTGGGCCTGCCATCTAGGGGTGAAAGAGGGCCAAATACTAGTTGGAGGACTCCGCACAGCCCTGGGGACCTTCTCACAAAGGGATAGAAGTGAGCCCCAGTGTCTTCTGTGGGGAGCACAGTGTTCTGGGTGCTTCGCATAGCTGCAAGGGGGCAACTGTGGTGCCTCCTACATCCAGAAGAATGGTGTCGTCCTGTTTAGGATAGCCGCCTCTCATCTCCCTGACAGATGACCACTGGACCACTTAGAAGTGACCACTGGGACTGCAGCCCACGGACACCACACTGCACCCGGGATGGGAGCTTCAAATTCTCATGCTTCTGTGGCTATATGAGAGTCAAACCCATAGTGTGTTAGTTTAATAGACTAGGGTTTAGTATTTAATAGAGTTTAATATTAATAGATCGATACAAATTGAACAACAGAAACTGATGGACTCACAGATCTAGGTTCTCAAGGCTGGGTTCCTGTGAGGACCGTGAAGAAGGGGAATCTGTCCCATGTCATTCCCCTAAATTGCAGTGGCTATCTGGTCATCTCTGGGGCCCTCAGCTTGTTAGATGCATTGCCTGACTCTGTATCCAACCTCACATGAACCTGTGTGCACGTCCGTGATGCCACACCCTTTATATACTGGATTTACCTGCTGTGTGACTATTCGTAGGGAGACATAAACATAAAATGTTGGCTCACCTCGGATAGGGCACCAATCAAAGACTGACTAATGACATTATTCTACCAAAGTATAGCTGAGTGACCCCGTGAGGTTATTGGAATTACTATAGAAGTATCAGCAGCTGTATCACCTGGAGGTCAGTCCCAGCTTGATCATCACTCAGGAAAACTGCACCCCACTGGCTGATGGGAGAGCATCCTCTCCCCAGGATTGCTACTGCTTCTACAACTTTGGGAAAGCCTGGTGAATCGTGGGAGTTTTAGAAGTTTTCTGAGTCTTGTAAGTTTTGTCAACTTTTTTAAAAATGTTTTTATTTTTATTATGTATACAATGTGCTGTCTGCATGTTTGCCTGCAGACCAGAAGAGTGCATCAAATCTCATTATAGATGGTTACAAGCCACCGTGTAGTTGCTGGGAATTGAACTCAGGACCCCTGGAAGAGCAGTCACACACCACCACCCTACACACTGGTCCAACTTCTTCCAGTAACCTTAGCTCCAAACACGATTACTTCTTTTTTTTTTAAAATATTTTTTATGGTTTATCTAACTTTATTTTATGTGCATTGGTGTGAAGGTGTCAGACCCCCTGCAACTGGATCTTCAGACAGTTGTGAGCTGCCATGTGGGTGCTGGGAATTGAACCCAGGTCCTCTGGAAGAGCAGTCAGTACTCTTAACCACTGAGCCATCTCTCCAGCCCCACACGATTACTTCTTAACACATCGAATGTGGGGACAGACACAATTTAACCTGTGACATGCAGGAAGTCTTAGATATTCCCCAATCGTTGAGGACAATGACATGGATGCCATGATGGCGCTCCACTGTGACATTCACATGGCGTGACCGAGACAGAATCACCTTAGCCAGCCATAGCGAACAGAGACATCTGCAGCACCTAACACATCACAGCTGACACACGGCCAGAGCTAAGACAGGAGGTGTGACCCAGCAGGGAACACCTGCTCTAAGCTGAGTCAGTCCTCCCCACCCACCCACAGTCTCCACACGAGTAATGCCAGACACGTATCACATGGACCACTGCCCACAGAAACATCAAACAGCTCACAGAGAACATTAAGGAAATGCGTGCAGGTTCACGGCCAGGGACTTGGGCAGTCCATCTCCTCATCAGGTGCGGACCCCACCACTGGACGCGTGTGCCTCTGAGAACCTTGTAGGATTTCCTGACTGAGCTGATGTGCAGAGTGGGACTAAGGACGCATGAAATGACCTTGAGGGAGAAGGATTAGCTTTCTCCAGCTGCCATCACAAAGCGCTGCAAGAAAGGGGCTTAAACGACGGAACTGTGTTGTGTCTCAGTTCTGGAGCTAAAGGCCTGAGTGAGCTTGGTGTCACGGGGTTGGCAGTGGCAGTGGTGCCTTCTCTTCTTACTTATTCTTTTCTTTAATTAATTAATTCATAGGCAGGGTCTGGTGTACCCTAGGTTTGTCCTCAAACTCCCTATGTAGCTAAGAATAACCTTGAGCTTCTCACCCCTCCAAATGTTGGACCAGCAGGCATGTGCTATTGATGCTTGATCTATGTAGTATTGGGGATTGAACCTAGGACTTCCCTTATGCAGGGCAAACAACTCTATCCTGAGCTACAGATCAACCTTTTACACTTTTTTTTTAAAAGATATTTTATTATGTAGCCCAGGCTGACTTCCAACTCCTGATCTCCTGCCTAAGCCTCCACTAAAGCTGGGATAACAGGTGTGTGTTACACCCAGGCTCAGGATCAATTTCTTCTGAAATAGCCTTGTTCAAATTTCTTTGTCTTATAAAGACAGTATTTGAGTTGGGTGGTGGTGGTGCACATCTTTAATCCCAGTACTTGAGAAGCAGAGGCAGGTGGATATCTATGAGTTCAAGACCAGCCTGGTCTACAGAGTTCCAAGAGGAACCCTGCCTGGAATTTAAAAAGTCTTTTGTCCACATTCTGCTATACTTAAGGTTAGAGCTTCAACATGAATGGAAAAAGTTTGCCCAGTTCATCTGTAACTAGAGAGATGGACTCAGTCATACTTTCTCCAAACTTTGGGGTTGCTCAAGTCTGAGGGGAACAGGCACTGACTTCGGGAAGTCTCCCAGTGAAGATGAGGCAGGAAACACACATGTATGCACACACACACATATTCACATGTATAAACGCACACACATACAAATGTGCACACATATACACACATGCACAGGTCACACGCATGTAAAGGCACACACATATACATATGCACACATATATGTGAGCACATGTGTGTAAATTCACACACATATGCACGCCCGTGTGTAAGTGCACACACGTGCATACATATGCACATGCACACACCAGGAAGGAAGTGAATATTACAAGTTGTGTCTGAGAACTGGAATTTGGCAGCCAGCTCCTGAATAGAAACAGAAGCAGACAAGCAAGAGAAAGTACTGAGAAATGAGTTAGGAAGGAGAGGGTATTGGAAAAATGGGGATAATCGCCTGAAAGGAGAACGTGAGAGTCCGGGTTGGGCGGTGTGTGAGTGCTGCATCCAGCAGACCCAGGTCAGTAGGGGCATCTTATGCCATGTGGGACAGGGGTTGGGATGTCTCTGCAGGCTGTCACTACCAGTGAATGTCACCTGCTAGGTATAGGGCACAAGATGGTTGGGCTTCTGCCACAGGGCGGTTGTGTCTCCAGCAAGATCCTCATGCCGGTCTGTCAGAGGATTGCCAGTTCCTGCCTCGAGTCTGAGAACAGGACAATGGCTTCCCCAAACATGACTCCGCTCATCTGCTGCTGTTTCCCAGGGCCACCTTGTCCCCTAGACCCCATCCTCCTCTCCGAGATTCGCTCTCAGATCCTGTGTGCCACGGGCCTCCCAGTGTGCAATCATTTCCGACTGTCTTACAAGTGCTGCTGTATGTTAATGCTACGCTGCCTAAACAGACCACCCCCTGTCATGTTCCCTCTTGACATTTTGGCTGAGGAGTGTGGAAGTCAGGAGGGGTCACCTGGCACACCCACCGGCGTCTCCAGATCTCAATCTGCTCAGTCATCGCATGTCTGTCTCCCTCTCTCTGTCTGCTCAGGTATGAAGCGGCCACTGAGCCCATCCCCCTCAGGTGAGAAGGAGCCCCCCACAGCTGCAGCATCTGAGTGCCCCCCTCACTCTCCAGAATCATCGAAGCCTAAGCGGGAAAGGAAACGACCTTCCTACACCCTCTGCGATGTCTGCAACATCCAGCTGAACTCTGCTGCCCAGGCCCAGGTGCATTGTGGGGGACGCGCCCACCAGCGGAGGCTTCGGCAGCTCAGCCTGGGCAAGAGCTCTGCAGGGCCAGGTCAGTGAGGAATGGCGCTGAGCCTAGCACCCCTTCTATAAACTGGATCTGGGTCCCTTTAAGGAACCCTGAGTCTGTGGCTTCCCTGATACTGTCAGGGGCTGCAGCTTGGTGGCATGCCGCCTACCCCGCATGTGAGCTGGGTTCAGCACTGCAAAACCAAAGAAAGTTTGGTTTTGCTTCTGCACAGCTTTCTATGGGATCTCTCGGGATGTGGGAGTCTTGAAGTCTCCTTCCCCCCTACCCCCATCCAGACAGGGTTTCTCTGTGTAACAGCCCTAGCTGTCCTAGAACTAGCTCTGTAGACCCGTCTGGCCTTGAACTCACAGAAATCCACCTGCCTCTGCCTAGTGCAAAGATTAAAGGCATGCACCACCACCACCCAGGTGAGGTCTCTTCTTGAGGTCTCTTCAGTTCTAGGAGCTCTCCCTGTGGGTGGTGTTTGTGATGAGGACATTCAGAACATTTCTCCAGCCTGGAGCTTCCTGGCAGGGACAGCCATCCAGACAATGGCCTGACCTTCAAGGTGTTCCAAACTCCTGCTTTTCAGGCAGGGGTCAGCGTGATGCGCAGCTCTCCAATCTAGGAACAACAGGAGCTGCTCTTTCCATGGCAACGAGACTCCCAGCCAGGATTTCTGCCTCTCCCTAGCTGGGGTGACTTTGTAGGGGTTTCGCTGCCAGTGCTGGAGGGGCAGCTGGCTGCAATGCAGTGTTCTGGGGGAGATGGGTGAATGCATCTGTGAGGGTGATGCCTGCTGACAGGCACATGGGGTCACGAGCTGCAGGCTGGCAGGGAGGACAGATCCACATGCAGGCCTAGGAGGGAGAGACAGGGGGTATTGGTACCCAGATTCTGGAGGTGATTTCAAGAAACCCATTTTGCAGCCCAGCCGGGTGGTTTCGCCAGAGGCTGCCCTGAACCTTGAGAGTTCCTAATCGTTGGGTGACATTTATACAGTGCCTGCTTAGCATGATGGGAATTGAGACGCGCTCCCAGGGGCACAGAGACCTCGGAGCAAGAGAGTGAGGAGCGTGACAGGTGAGGGGCATTTCAGGCAGAGGTCACATCCACAGCAAGGGACAGGAAGATTGGCAGTGGGGATTAACACTTCCAAGGAGGCACTTAGAGTTGGACTCCCAAGGCTGGGACTGACCGATCTGATGGATCAATATTTCTGAAGGACAGGGTTTGTTCAAAGGTCATTCATTTAAGCTGGGTGGATGGTACATGCCTGTAATCGGGATGCTGAGGCAGGATGGCTATAAATTCAAGGCCAGCGTGGATTACATAGCAAGATTGTCTTTTAACAAGTCATACATTTATTCATTAAATATATTTATTTATCTATTGAGGTTCAAGCTGCTGTTCAGGGGGCTCACTTTTTTGTTGTTGTTCAAGACAGGGTTTATCTGTGTAGCCCTGGTGTCATGGAACTCGCACTGTAGACCAGGCTGGGCTTGAACTCAGAGATCCACCTGCCACCTGCCTTTGTGCTGGAAATATAGGTGTGTGTTGGAGGAAGAAGAGGGTGCTTACAATTTTAATACTTTTAAATTTGGGGGGGGGAGCTGTCTAAATCACTCTACAGAAAAATGAATTTATTCTCAGGTGGTACTAGACCTTGTAGAGGTGACAGAGCAGAGTGTCAAGAGAATCCAGGAGAAAGCTGAGCCTGTTGACACAGGCTAGTAAGCCCAGGTATTTGGAAGGTAGAGGCAAGAGGATCTCAAGTTCAAGGGTAGCCTTGGCTAGAGAGTGAGTTCGAAGCAGCCTGGGCAACTTAATGAAATCTTGTCTCCATATTAAAAGTAGCAAAGGTTAGGGATATAATTCATAGGTAGAGCACTTGCCTAGCCTGCTCGAGGTTCTGAGTTCAAATCCCCAGTACCAGAGAAAAATGAAAAGGCCTGGTTAATTCTGAGTCTTCCCTGGGCCATGGCCTCAGGTACATCTCCCAGGATAGGGAGCCGCTAGCTAGCAGTCACCCAAGTCAGTAGGGAGAAGAAAAGGCACAGGGTTTTGAATCCTGCTGAAAACTGTTCCCAACCTGGTGTGGGATCAGGCTGGGGCTACTGAAGCTCCCTAGGGAAATGAAGAGACTCCCACCTAATTCAAGGACCCTTGGTGGGGGTGGGGGGGGCAGGAGTGGGGAGGTTGGGGGAGTGTGGTATGCAAGGATCTTGCACTCACTGAGATGCCACACCACGTAAGGAGACCAGAGGTCCTTGTCTCTTGTAGCCAGAGCTGTCACTTTGATTAGGGTCCTCTGGGGCTAGAGGCTTCCCTTGTGACAGGCAGTCACAGGCAGTGAAGCCAGGACCCTCTCCTGCTCTCCTTCTTGAGGGTGGGGGGAATGTAGGAGGAGCTAAGGAGGTAGGCGTGGCCCTTTCCTCCTTGAGCTTCCTCTCTGGCCCACTTCCTTAGCCATGACCAGCTGCAGGATCTCTCGCTGTCACCCTTGGGTTCCACGTCTCTATCTCCACCTCTTGGCTCTCCCCCAAGGCTCCACATCTGCCTCACCTGTCTGCCACCCAGGAAGCCGAATGTGTCTTGGGCTATCCTTTACTGGCTTACCCCGACCTCAGGGGATGTGGGCACCAGGAACCTCCATCAATGAGACTGAAGCCAGTGAGGCTACTCACCGCACACAGACCCCACCCTAAACTACTCAACACCTCCAAACACAAAGGCGCAGGCACAGCTTTCTGGCTCCAGCCCAGATGTTGATGTAGCACAGTGAGTTGTCACAACACCTGGGCCAGAGGCTGTGACCTTCCAGTGCCCTAGAGAGCATTAGGGAGAGCTGAACTGTTCGCAAAGCAGGTCAACATCTGGCAGGCAGCCCCCGATCCCGACCCTGAAGATGACGATGTTCAGTTCTCATTCTGCACACAGGACTATGGCGGCTCAGAGGGAATAATAGCCAAAGGCAGCTTGCTGGGTCTTGATCCCAAATGTCTGACTCTCAATCCTATCTCACACTCCTGCCCTGGCGGAGGAGAGCGGCCAGTGCACGTGAAGAGAAGTCGAGTTGGTTGGTCATGGTGGCATATGCCTGTTATCCCAACATTTGGGAGGCAAGGACAAGAGGGTTCTTGGGAGTTCAAGGTCTGGGAGTTGTAGAGAGTTTCAGGGTAGCTAAGGCTATATAGTAGGCTTGGGGAGAGAGAGAGAGAGAGAGAGAGAGAACCACGATGTGATGTCTGAGTATGGGAAAGCAGGTTGGCCTGAGAAAGTAGGTCCAGCAAGACGGTTATACAGGTAATCATGACCATATCTCTATTCTATGTTTCCTCAGCTTAAAGTGGGGAACCAGGCCCAGTGTGGTGGTCATACATGCCTTTAACTCCAGCACTCAGGAGGCAGAGGCAGGTGGATCTATTTGTGAGTTCAAGGCCTGCCTGGTCTATGCAGTGAGTTCTAAGACAGCCAGGGCTACATAGTGAGACATCGTCTCAAAATAAATACATAAAAGAAAGGAAGGAAGGAAGGAAGGAAGGATGGAAGGAAGGAAGGAAGAAAAGAAGGGGAACCCCTAGCCATCTTCTGCCCCTCTAGATGGTTAAGGAAGGGTAGCTTCCTAAAGTCAGCCACTTCCTCTCTGACTCTGGGTAAAGTCAATGGCACTATCCAACTTAGAATGAGCCCAGGCCCTTTCCCTCATCATCCATCCTGAAGGGACAGGAAGGGACTTCAGAAATGCCTTAAGCTCTGGTTTACTGAGGTGGCTAGAGGAACCCTGGAGGGAGGATGTAAGACAGACACTGGGAGGGACAGGCGAACAGAGATGGGTCAGATTAAGACAGAGATGACTGCTGTTATGGCATTGAGAGTGGAGACTTCCGCACTCCCCACCCCTCCTAACACCCTAGCACTCTTTCTCCTCTGCAACTTTGATCTTTGAAGCCTCTGGCTGTACCCTGAGTCCTGGAAATCAAAGACTTGGGTCATGCCTGAGTCACTGGCTTGATGAGCCTTCCTCACCCACTGCTCCCCACAGATGGATTAATTTCAGTCCCCCCAGGAGGCTCTGGAAGCCCTCCCCCTGCCCCTCCCATCTCTCTGGGTTGCTGATTCCTCTTCACTGAGGTACCTCCTCCCTAAATCCCCCCACCCCCGCCCGTTTCCAGCCCTATCATCCTGAGGCCTTCAGGTGCAAGTTTCAAAGGAATAGTAGTCCCCTTCAGACCACCAAGCCCGGCTACTGCCTCCTACTGCACCCTCCTTCCGTGGCAGGTGACAGAAATATCCTACATTCTCCCAAGACAGCCAAAACATCCTCTTCCCCCAGGTGAGACCTGCCCCCCCTTCCAGACCACCCAGAGAGGTGAGGCTGTCTGGGTAGAGAATTAGGGGGCTTAGTTTAGATCTCTGCCTGGAAGAAGGCAGAACTTCCCGGTGTGTCTCTGGGTGGGTTCATTAACTCTAGGCTTGAGTTCCTTTCCTTTACCCACACAGACAACTCCTTCCCTCTCAGAGCCCCTTCCTGCCGCGGTCAGTTCTTTCCTGGGCTTGCTTCGCGGGGCAGATATTGGCTGCCCTGAGATTACGAGTTTGTCTGGTCATTGTCTGATGGAGAGAGGATGCTGAATTGGGGCCCCTCACTGCACTCCCCCTGTACTGGGCACAGACAGGATTTGGAATTCGAGACTGGATCCCAGCTGTGGCTTGGTTGTCTCCCTTTTTCCTATGCCCCCCCACCCCTGCCCTGCCTGGCACAACCACCAGGTGCTCAGGTGAGTAGGGTGTCAGTTATCAGCACCTGGAGAGGGGAAGAGGAAGGAGCAAGCGGCAGCAGAGAAAAGAGATGGGATTCCTCCCCCACCCCCCACTCCCACCCCCAGCTGCCAGGTGTCAGAAGTTCTAGCCGCTCAGGCAGGGCAGACTATTCCCCACTTCCTTCCTGACATTGCAGAGGTAACAGATCTAAGGGGCTAACCTGGGCTCCCCGCTCCCTACCTCAGTGGCAACCCCTCTGTGACACTTCTCTAAGCCTG